ATTAAAATCACATTATTTTAAATTCTCATACCAAACGAACCTGATTTGTTATTCCACATTACTGGATGCGTAACATTTACTCATCGCTGTCCTTGGTCTGTCGTTTTGGGAGACAAAAAGAGTTGACTCAAATTTGCTCGTCCCAAGTCTCCAGCAAATCTGATCATAAGATGGCTCTTCCAAATAAAATAAAATAAAATAAATAATAGTAATAACAAATTAAAAGTGAAACATATATGAATGACAAAGCCCGCATACGGAAAACCAAGCCACAATAAAGAAGAAAATATCTAAATTGGTAGGACCTTCAAAGAACTTAAGATTCCAATAAAACTATCCCAAAGTTCCACTCTTCAAAGAAGAAAGCAAAGGGGGTCCTAATTCCTATCCTAATATTACCAACCATGGCAGGTTCACTAATCATCTTCTTTGGGATGCTAGGTAATAATTTATATGCTCTTTAATTTTAGTAATAATTTATATGCTTTTTAATTTTGGTAATAATTGTGTGGGATATTCTTCTTTTATTTTTTATTTTTTTATTTTTTGTTTTGATTCTAAAGATTTAAAGCCTGCATATACAGGGAATATTATGTCAGGGCTAGTTTACATATCTCCTGCGTAAGTAGTACTACTGAATAAGCTTAGTTCAGTTTTTCCATTTCTAATTCTTAATTAGTTTTGCCTTTTAACATGAAAGCTAAATTTGAAAGAACTTTCTGAACTATAATTCTCTCAGAAACGTGTTTTGGCGAATCTGTAAGCGTGGATCGACGGAGGAATTCGAGAGCATCCCTTATGTTAGCAAATTACTGAATGCTTACTTTTGGATTTACTATGGACTTATTAAGCCTGACAGCCTTCTAGTGGCTACTGTTAATATGTTTGGTGCTGTTGTGGAGATCATTTTTCTCACTATATTCTTACTCTTTGCACCTCCAAGGATGAAGGTCAATCTTCTTCTTCTTCTTCTTCTTCTTGTCTCAATCCATTCAATCTTCTTTTCCAAGTGTGATTTAAGTTCTTCTTCTTAGTCTTTTTTTTTTTTTTTTTTTTTTTTTTTTTTTTTTTTTTTTTGTTGTTGTCTCAATCCATTCAATCTTCTTTTCCGAGTGTGATTTAATTTTTTACTTATTACCATCAAATTATTGCTTCAATAATAGACTTTTGTTATGATATCAGATTAGGACTGCCATTCTTGTTGTGGTCCTAGATGTGGTTTTCCCTGCAGCAGCAATTTTGTGCACTCACTTTCTGCTACACGGAGATACTCGAATCGACGTTGCCGGGTTATTGTGCGTAGCCTTCAGTATGGTTGCATATGCTTCACCTCTTTCAGCCATCGTAGGGGGAAAAAAAAAAAGGCAAAAAATTCTATACATGCAGTTTTTCTCATGTAAAA